TAGGGTTTCTCCCATGGCAATAGTTGCTTCATGGGGTTTGAGGACCCTGGGTTGAAGCTGGATTTGAATGACTGCCATGGGTGCTTTTCTCTATAACCCTGGGGGGATCAGGATCTTTTGAACCCACAGTGGCATAGGCAGCAGCTGTAGCAAAGGCATGTTGTGAAGTCCTAATGAGCCATCTGTTTTTAGAGTGTGCACCATAGTTTTCCATATGGTCTTGCTCCATGTAAGTGACCACCAATGGGCCCACATACTGCACAGGACACCAGTATTCCCCATGAGCACTCTAAAGAATTGGGGCAAAGCTTGGTAGGGACAAATGATAAAAAGTCACAGAGTAAAAGACACCTCCCTAAGTCTAGTATCTGTCACAGTTTATGCTGGAATCCAAACATACAATTCAGTCTGAGATACACAGACACGTCTGGACTGAGACACAATCCCCAAAACCAATTTCCTCCTATTGTTATATGTCAATTATCAAATCTTCCAACTTAGCTTAGTAAATCTTTAATGTGGCTTGGCAGGGCTCAGCAAATGCAGCACAGTAGCTCAGCAAATGCAGCACATGCTCACCAGCAGACAGTGACGAAAATACACATTAACCAGCAGCAGAACCAGTTAGCAAAGGAAGTATTCAGACTCATTTCCTGGACCCGATTGCTGTGTCAATTGTTGTCGTCATTCCACATAAGAGACGTGGAAACCCCCCATCCAAAAGTGGGTTCAGATGTTGGATGTTGAGACCAATGATGCTACTCTTGGAACAAATAAGTATGAAAAAGGTTTATTACTCACATAATTTGTGAGAATAGAGAAGATACTTGTGGCATGGCCATCACTTCCTGGAGGGTGATTTCTCACTTTCCCTCTCTATCTCTCTGGTGAATGTATGTGCCCTATGCCAACAAACAAACGAACAAATAAGTATGAAAAAGGTTTATTACTCACGTAATTTGTGAGAATAGAGGAGAATAGAGAAGATACTTGTGGCATGGCCATCACTTCCTGGAGGGTGATTTCTCACTTTCCCTCTCTATCTCTCTGGTGAATGTATGTGCCCTATGCCAACAAACAAACAAACCCATTTAAAACAATCCTGATTCCATTTATATCCCAAAAAGTCAAGATAGTCAAGATGCCGCCTTAATGACTTTAATCAAATCATTAGACTTTAGGTTTTAGTGTGCAGCTTTCCTAGCCTCTGGCCCTCCAGCAATCCCACTCTTCCCTCAGTAGGCTCTGCAATTAAGTAGCCTAGCAGTGCTAAGCATGTGACTGTACCAAGACAGGTCTGAGACCTCCCCAGCATTTACTTGAATAATACGCATCAGCTCACCATGAAGGGAAGCCTTGGTTTCCTTTAATATGTCACATTTTCTGAATTAGGTACTTTTACATATACCGCCCCATTAATATAGTTTAATTCTCATAACCTTTTAAAACATAAACTGTCATTTACTTTTTTCTTTTTAGAGAGAGGCGTTTTTTTTTTGTTTGTTTGTTATAGGATACATGTACTTTCTGGAGACAGAGAACCAGAAAGTGAGAAATCAACCCCCTAGGGAGTAGGCAATGCAGCTATCCCTTCTCCATTTTTTCCTCTCAGGATCTACAGAAAGTGAGAAATCATCCCCCTAGGGGGTAGGCAATGCCGCTATCCCTTCTCCATTCTTCTCTCAGGACCTTAGGCACACGCACTCACACGCCCAGCATGAGCTTTAAGGCAGTGGGTCTAGGACTCAAACTGCAGTCCCAAATTATCATTTACTTTTACCAGATAAGAAAATCAGTTCAGCAGACAGAGTAACAACAGTCAAAATATCGCAATAGTTAGGATAGAGAAGCAATTGGGCTAAGGTGGGCCAGGTATTTTCCTACTAACTAAATGTAAACACAATAAAATTATAATAAATTATGCAAGAATAGTGGCAGGAAACTCAATCACAATTACAGTTGGTTAACAAATGTATTTAAATTACAGAGCTAGAAGGGATTTTAGTGATCTAGTCTAATATCCCATTTCTGTCTTATATAATATCCATATCTATTTTGTAGGTAGAGAAACTGATGCTCAGAGGCAAGGTGATTGCCTGAGGTCACATAGCTAGCCAAGGGGCAGAGCTTTGATTCAGACACAAGCCTGACTCCAAGTACAGCCATCTTCCCAGAATACATTTTCAGTGCTGAAGTTACCTCACTAACTTCTGACTTTGCCAGGGTATCATGAACATTAATGATATTGACAAGATAAAGCCAAAGGTCTGGAGTCCAAGTATATACTTTGTTAAACAGCCTTCTACCTCACCACTGGCCTGCTTGTAAAAATTATCTAGCCATCTGCTGTTTTGTATCTGTAATTTGTTTTGAGAGCCTCTTCAGGGGCCACATGTCCTGAGTACAAATCCACATCCTTGGCAGGTGCAGGGTAGAGATCTGATTCTCATACTAGCCCCTGCCTTCTATTTCCTTCCTATAAAGTTGGATGGATAACACTTCACTTTTAAGAGGCCACTAATTAGTACTAGATTAAAAGTATGACTACTTAAGCATCCCTTGCCTTATGCACAGGAACACTAATACTCAAGTTTATCTAACTGACTACAATAATAGAGTACCCTTCTACAGACTCAGACTAAAGTGTACACTGGGATTGATCCTCACAGTCTTCAGACAGGCCTTTGAGAAAATCCAGGGCAAAAGAACATTAGATTACAAATGCTTTAGAGAGGAAAGACTGGAATACTTTATGAAAAGTACACACATTATTATTTATCATCAAGGTTGCCTTTTCTAATTACCTGGCATAGTGCCTGGCCCATAGCAGGTGCTCAGTGAATATTGAACCAATGCTCCCAAACTTTATGTTCAATGTAATCAGAATGATAAAGGGAAGCAGAGGCTTAACCAATCTATAAGCCAATTGTTCACTGCTACTTTTTATACCATTACAAAAGGGCTTGTCTGAGAATCTTGTTTTACTCAGTGTAAAGGGGGCTACTCTAGGAGGCCTCCCTTTATTGGAGTCACTATCAAGTCAGGTCAATAACTGAGCCAATTAAATAAATGAAGACATATTCTATACCAGGTCCATCCCGTGTTATATGCTCATAGCTATAGATTAGCCCATATAAAGCTCAAATTTAGGAATAAATAATTGTAACACAGTTATTTATATAATAGCAGAAACATGAAACCAGTAGAGATATTAGGAAAGAGT